CATAGTTACTGAATAACAACAATAAATGTAAACTGTTTTTTTGATCACGAAATCGTGGTAACACTCTGCGATGTTGTCACCTCAGCGGTAAGGACTGCTGGGTACCCCAATTCGCAAATTGAATCTTCTGAGCACAATGTAAATTGTCTTAAATTTTGCAACTGATATTGACCAACCGATCTACTGAGCCATTCCAGATCGACCGTTACAGTTCGTAAAGTTTCCAACCAAGCTATAAAAATTAAAAATAAAAGTGTTAATTAAGCAAACTTAAGCATTAGCATTCCTTTTCTATATATATATGCACCTGTGTTTAAGTCTACTGTAAACACATTTTTATTTTGAAATGTTGGATTTATAATGCATAAAGTTGTTATTTAACGACTTACTTTCATACAACTCAAAATCTTGTGAAGCTCTAGCTTCAGTAATGATTAGAGGAATATAGCCATTCCTGGAAAGCAAGTCATCTAATCTGGACACAATTTTTCCTCCTAACATTGTTACAACATTCTAAAAAAGTAAAAATAAAATAAAATATAAGAGTAACCGTATTTTTATGCATGTATTTAGTTTATAAAAACAGTACCTCAACTTCTTCAGCAGTTGTAGATACAAAGGGTTTAGCTGCATACACTTTAAAACCTTTTAGTAAATCGCGTTTAAGAGCAAGACGTGATAATCTTGGCCCTGGTAACCCTGATACATCTTTTACTTCAAAAGGGTCCTAAAAAAAATTAGAGTAGATACAAAAAAAAATCGACTTTCACATTCCCTTAACATCAATGAATTTCTTTATTATTAAGATCTATTGTTATAAAAATCTCTTTATCCTCTATAATTTTTATCATACCTCTGGTACCAAGCATTTCCTTTTTAAACACTCTTCAATCCAGTTAAAACTTAATACCCAAATCCCAGCAGCCACTGCGAAAACGTATTTCATCGTATGGTCTTTCACACACCCTTTTGCATTTGTTGCGACGATCATATGTGTAACAGATTTTGAAAAGGAACCGCTGTAACAAAGTAATTTCTTCGATGCCAAAGAATTAATCGCCATCACCTGTTCCAATGTGAGTCTTGTACAGGAAACGCAAGGTTTCATATTTACAGTAACTTCTTCCACTGGTGTGGAATAACGTGAGCATCCAGGTTGAGGACTTGCGTCCAAATTATCAGGTTTCACATAGTTTAATATACTCTTCTGCGTTGGGGTACATGACTGAGGAGTTAGTACTCGTTGTGGAGGCCTTTTAGATTTCACTATCATAAGAGGAGAAAACTTGGACGATTTTGCAATGTCAATTGGATTTAATGGTCCCGTAGGGAATTC